TGAAAGGGACACATCGAGTGGCTGCCACCCGCACGACCAACCAGGGCCAGGGACAAACTGCAACTGAAGTATGTGCCCTTAGTGGGAACCGAACCCGGGTCTCTCTGGACCGCAGGCCGATGCTCTAACCGCTGAGCCAAACTGGCCAGGGCTGCTTTTTAAAGTTAATGAATTAATTTATTCTTTTTCAAATTTTTATTCTTTGTCATCTCTCTTCTGATTTCTTATTTGTTTGTTGTTGTTTTTGTTCAGATTTTTGTTATTGTCCTTCCAGATCCTATCCTATGTCTCTTATTACCAAACTGCTTTCTCAGAACATTTGGGTATTGGCCCTGGCCAGATAGCTCAGTTGGTTAGAGCGCCATCCCGATATGCCAAGGTTGTGAGTTTGATCCTGGTCAGGGCACATAGGAGAAGCAACCAATGAATATATAAATAAGTGGAACAACAAATTGATGTTTTTCTCTCTCTCTCTCCTCCCACTTCTTCTCTCTCTCTAAAATTAATTTTTAAAAGTTTGGGCATTGCCTTAGTTTGCTACAACTGCTGTCACAAACTGGGGGGGCTCAAACAACAGAAATGTATTGCTTCACAGTTCTGGAGGGTAGAAGTCCAAGATCAAGATATTGACAGGGTTGGTTCCTTCATGAAACAGGGAGAATCTGTTCCATGACTCTCCCAGCTTCTGCAAGCTTTGCTGATCATCTTTGGTGTTGTTTGGCTTGTAGTTGAATCACCCCAATCTCTGCATTCATCTTCATGTGGTGTTCTTGTGTGCGTGTCTGTGTGCAAATTTCCCCTTTTTGTAAAGACATTAATTATATTGGATTAGGGCCTACTTTAATGACCTCATCTCAACTTGATTATCTGCAAAGATAAGATCACATTCACAAGGACGAAGTTCGGATAAACATATTTTGGGAGGAACACAATTCAACCCACAGGTATTTTAAGATGAGTCACATGGCCAATCTTCTTTGGGCCCCAAGCACAGCTGAATATTGTGATTTCTTCTCTACATGTCAACAGTACATCAGGGATCTCTTAGGGACCATCCAAGTCAAGAATATGATTCTATCTGTCAAAGCTGTAACTCGGATCAAGTCTGCAACCTAGTCAATAGATCCACATGAAAGTAATATTTCTCAAGTGGGCACAGAATTATAATTTTGGGGTAAAATTCCTCCCATCTCATCATAATTTCAATTCACTCAGGCATGGAGAAGGCATTAACAATAAGAGCATAAATCATACGTAGAGTGGGGGTTGGTAATTAAGTGGGAGAATTGGGTCTGGAAGACTTCCTTCAGTTGTCAGAATTGTTTGTGTGACCAGGGTGACATAAAGAAGGAAGCATTGCCTCAGATAACCTGGGACTTAAATTTCCCCGTCAAGTAACTGGTTGGCTTCACTTACAAGTGAGCCTTGGCTAAAATGTTTTTATTTACAATCACCTAAAGGCTAATATAATTTCAAGACTGATCAGAGTTCATGAGACAGGTTTTAATTTATATCTACTGGGTATTGACTAAGGGCCTGGGAACAAGTTAGAATGATACTTAGAATCAGAAATTGAAATAATGGAAGTGACAAGGACCTGAGGATTCATCAATTACTGTCTCACTTCATAGATGAGGATCCTGAAATCTGGAGGCCTGCAGATACTGGGCTGATCGGCAGAGAAGAATTGACTCCAGGTCTCGAACCCCTGCCTAGTCTTCCTTCCAGAGGGAAGTTCTAATGGGGGTTTCTCTCAGCCTCTCTCACCTCTGCCACAAGCCCTCGTCTCTGAGATCTCAGTTGACATTCTGATAAAGAAATTAGATGCGTTAGAATGTTGGGGTTCAGTGGAGCCTTGTAGATCATCTAGTGACTAGACTAGACTCTAGTCTAAACACCTCACTTTACAGACGAGGAAAGTGGGATCCGAAGAGAGCAGCTGACAGTTCCTGCTGTAGCTGGAGAGGGAGCTGGGACCGGAGCAACAGTGTCTTAGTGGAGCTCAGTGTTCTCTCTCCTGACTTCTTTCAGGTTGAGTAATATTTAATGATTCCATCGATCTTGTGTGTTGGCTTATTAACCATACCGCTTTGCTTTGCTTTCTTACTTAGTCATTTCGTTAAGGTCTGTAGTATATATTTTTATCTCATCACAGTCTGTGTTTAAATGATATTATACCACCACTTCGCATTTAGTATGTGAACTTTATTTTTCTATTTCTATGCTATTTTTGCCATACATTTTACTTGTGTCTATACTATAAACCCCAAAACACAGTACTATTATTTTTGTTCAGATAGTCAATTACATTTTGAAGAGATCAATTAATAAGAGAGAAGACTTACATATTTACCCATGTACTTAGCATTTCTTGTGCTCTTCATTCCTTTGCATCTGGTATTTTTTTTCATTGGTGACCCATTTTTTTCAGCTTTTATGGGTCTGAAAAGGTCATTTCATCTTCATTTTTGAAGGATTTTCAGTTGGAGATAAAATGATAGGTGGACAAGCTTGGACTACGCTGGTTTCTCCAGCCTCTCAGATTCGTCTCTTCAATTCAGAGAGTCTGCTGGGCTCTTTCTGAGTCGTCCTCCCAGAGCTGCAGCCTGGAATTCTCCCACGGCAGTGAGTGGGACAGTCACGGGGCTCACCTCTCGTGTCTCATCTCTCAGGGCTCACTGCTCTTCATTACCTGATACTCAGTGTCTTAAAAGCTGTTGTTCCATATCTTTTTTTTTTTTTGTCCTTTGGTTGTTTAAAGTAGGAGGACAAACTTGGTTCCTGTTACTTCATCTTGGCTCAATGCAGAAGGCTAGGAGAGTAGAAATGCAATCTTGGTGAATTGAGAGGATTTTCCACTGCTCTAGGGTTTTGTCAAGGGTCAGGGCACTTCATGTAGCTCCGAGATACTGGCTGGCAGGAGCGCGTGAGGACCGTAACCACTGGCCTGTGCAGGTGGCTGCTGAGACCACTTTTGTCCCCATGATCCTTCAGCGCTGGCAGCTCTCTTGCTACTCCAGGGCTGTGCTGGATATCCAGGGTCTCGGTGAGTCCATTTGGCCCCCTTACACCCGGACCCAGCGCTATGGAACCATTCTGTATCTTTCTGCGATCGGCCATCTCCCCTGCCCTTTGCTGGAGAGGATGGGCAGGTTCCTGTCCCAGGAACACACTGATTTCTTGGTATTATTCGTTTCCTCTCTCCCCTTACACCCTTGTTAGCCTTGGAGAAATCATTTCCTTATCTGAGATGGGAATGGATATTGGGGCCTTGTCTGTAAGTGAATCCTATAAATTCCTCCAGGGGCTTGGGACTTTGGGAACACAGAACACGGAGCCTCTCAGCACACTTGTGCTTTCTGCCTGTCCCATCCTCCCCTAGGCATTTAGAGGAGGCTGATTACTTGTCTGAAGACAGGAGGTAGAAAAGGAAGAAATGCCATGATGAAAAAAAATTTCCAAAACAGGTATGCCACAGTAATAAGAAGTACTCTTTATTTTGCTGAGAAATTTACCTTTTGAATTTATTCCATTTATAGCTATCTAAAAAGTAGCAAAGTATTTTTTTAGGGAGAGTGTGCTAAACAGAGGCTTAACTTTTTAAAATTTCATTTTAGTAATCCAATATTTATATAGTAAGTGAAGCTGGATTTGGGATATACAACTACTTGGCTGTATTCAGCGGTCACGTTCAAGAGGGCACACAAAGCTGTTATTTTTAACATCCCGAATAAAGATGTTTTCCCTTCTTAGACTCTCGTCTCCCTTGCCGCATCCACCCAAATTAACCTTAATACATTATTCATGTATTCTCAATACGTTTCTATATAGAATTTTTAACCAATAACATTTTTTTTAGAAGGATTTAAGATTCATAGTTGCATAATTGTGGATCTCTGATGTACTCAGCATGGCCTGGTTTTCAGACTCTAAAATCTTTCGTTTTGATAGCGATGGCCACAGGAGCTCCTTCTGGTCTCTACAACCAATTATAACTTCAAAATAGGTAGAACCTCTGTCTCCTATGCCCACACTGTGAGAGGGATTTCCAAGTGGTTTCTAGGTCACCCCTGCCTCTGCTCCTGGTTCACGCTGAGCTTTTGCTCTGCTTCTGAGATGCAGACTCACTCTGAGTCCCAGTTCAGGTGCTCAGGCCCCTCTCTCAACAACACATCTAGTGTTGCTGTTCTAGGATTGCTCACTTCCTTCCGGCAGAGGGAATGGGCCCTTCCGTCCTCGGACAGTCTTCTCCAGGGTGAATCCCATGCTCACACACCCAGATTTCTCTGTGTTTCCTATTCTCAGGTCCTCAGCCTAAAGCTCTGCCTATGTGTTGGACATTACGGCAGTCAGAGGTCTTTTCTAGCACCTTTTCCCCATTATATGCATTATTTAAAGTGATTTTTCCCCTTAGGAACTTCTATTGTCACTTGTATATCAAACCCCTCTGTTGGTAAGTGGTCCCGTATAAGCAGTGCCCAGTAGCAGATATTTCAGTTGTCTGAGATATGTGTCTTCCCAGCATCCCCTGGAAGGCAGCATGATCCTATGACTGTGTCACAGTCTACCCAAGAGTTAGATGTTAGATGTATAGATATGTATATTGCATACACACATGTGCATATTATGCCTCACTCTGATCTATGTTTAATCTCTTAGTTCTGTGAGTTCCAGTGTTCTTCTAGCAAAACCCCTAACTCCAGCCCTCACCACTTCACCCTTCTCCTCTTGACCCTGTCTGAAATTTATGCAATAACCAATTTCTCCACCACCTCCCTGCTAACAGCTGACATAGTGACCACCATTCTTTGTCAGAGAGGACAGCGAATGGTTGGGGAAGGAAAGTCTGGGGCAACTTTCTTTTACTCACTCATTCATTCCACCTTTCCACAGGTACCTCCTGAGCACACACTATGTGCTTGGTACCCTCTAGGTATTCTCCACATAGAAATGAACAACATAAGCAAACTTCCTCTTTCATGGAGTTTACCTTCTTTTTTTCCCTCTGCACTGTTCCTAGAGGTACTGCGATACCGGGTCAATGTATGGAGTGGATGTGGCAAGCTCCTATTCCATCTCCCTGTTCCAAAAAACATTTCATATAATGTCCTCAGACAGAGGATGCATCAGATGTTAAACTGATAAGAACAGATACTACACTTGATCTTAGCCAAAAGGCTGGGAAGCAATGGAATTTACCTTCTAATGGAAGGAGCAGACTAAAACCAAACAAATGAAAATTTGAGATTTCAGTCCTGGCCGGTTTGGATCAGCAGATAGAGCATCAGCCCATGGACCAAAGAATCTTGGTTTCGATTCCTGGTCAAGGGCATGTCCCTTGATTGCGGGCTTGATACCTGGTCCCAGTTGGGGTTGTGCAGGAAGCAACCAATTGATGCATGTCTCTCAGATTGGTGTTTCTCTCTCTCTCTCTCTCTCTCTCCCTCCCTCCCTCCCTCCCTCCCTTCCACTTTACCTGAAATAAATCAATGGAAAAATATCCCCAAGTGAGAAATAAAAGAAAAAAAAGTGATAAAAAAAAAAGAAAGTCTGAGATTTCAGATTTAGAATGACAGGATAGAAAGAAAATAAAGCAGGATAAAGTTTTAGAAGAGAAAGGTGTGTATGTGTGTGTATTTGAAATATTAGATACAGAAGTCAAGGACTATCTAATGAGATTTCATTTAAACAGTGACCTGCCCTGTGAAAGTCTTTCTGCCTTTTCAACAGCAGTGATTTCTGTAAACAATGCTTTAATTCAAGTAGGAATACATATTTATATTCGCTTGTAATAATATAAAGAAATACTAACAAAATGCATTAAAAACTGGTAAAATTAGTTCTCTCTAGTGGGAATAGTTGGAGGTCAGGAGTTAAAACAAGACTTCTCAATGTTTGCCTCTTACACAGTTTTGAAGTTAGAGATGTGTGGAGATACATAGATAAAACGTGGTCTGTGCTGTAGTGACGTTAGGCCTGAGCGATTGAGGGCAGCCCTGGGATGTGGATGTGGAGGATTTCCCCCTCTCTGCTGTTCTGAGACCTCTTTAGGGAGCTGCGTGTCTTCCTGAGGACTCTATTTCTCTAGTTGAGAAAAGGGGAATTATAGCTGCCCTGTCATGGGTGTTATGGGCAGAAATGGTGGTTATAAAGAGGATATTTTTCAATCTGTTAACATGGTTGCTTCGGAAAAGTGGGGTTGTATATATATATATATATATATATATATATGTAGGGAGATCCCTTTCAATTTTATTCTTATGTTTTATTTAATTATATACATGAGAAAATATTACTTTCATCATCATCAGAAAAAGTAGAGAGGAAAAAATAGATTAAAAGAATAATTTGGGCCAGGCCGGTGTGGCATAGTGGATGGAGCATCGTCTGGGTTTGATTCCTGGTCAGGGCACATGCCTGGGTTGTGGGCTTGGTCCCCAGTAGGGGGCGTGCAGGAGGCAGCCGATGGATGTTTCTCTCTCACATCGATGTTTCTATCTCTCTCTAAAAAAATCAACCAAAAGATGTTAAAAGAATAATAATAATAATAACAATAATAATAATTTAGGCCAGAGCCAGTCTTCTGCTTCCATGCTTCAACAGTTTTAGGGCTGTTTGATTTGTTGTAGGAGGGCTGATTTCTGATCTACGTTGGTAACATCTCGGTTGTCCACCAAGCACTCTGTTGAAGTGTCACTAGGCTGGGAAATGAGGGGCAGCTGAGCAGCAAGAGGACGTTCTGGAAAAGACTGCAGAGTCTGAGTAGAGGAGCGTGGGTCAGAGCTGCTAGACTCCGATCTGCCCGCAACAATGCACAGGCATTTTGCTCAGAGGTCCCTCTTCAGCTGTGCTTCTGTAGCCTCTCACATTCCTGTGGCTTTCGTTCCTGCTTCTCTCTGATAGAAAGTATGTCCCGTTCTAGGGAGGGACACCAGCATGCTGTCAACATCCATTGTGTGCCACCCAAGTAGTTACGTCACCCCTCTCAAGACCAGCATGAGTCCTGTGGCTGAAGGAGACTTTCTCACCATCTGTATTCAAGCTGCCATTTTCCAACTGTCATTACAGATTCCAGAATGCTAGAAAAAAGGCACGGAGCCGTCAACACTGGAATTATCAGGCTTGTTTTCAGATATTAGCCTTGCGACTTAAAGGCTGAATATTCATGGGCAAGTTATCAACCTAATCTATGAATCATTTTTCTTTGTCTGTAAAGTGAATATAGTTAGTATCCCAGCTTCGTAGGATTGGTGTGAGCATTACATGAGATTATGCATGTAACGGATTTAGCAGAGTGACTGGCATATTGTAAATGCTCTTGAAAAATGAGTTGTTGTTATGTTGCTAAGAAACAAATCATTTAATGACTGAAGGAAAGGGTAGTAAAGACCTTTATCTTCATGACTTCTCCATTAGAATACCCCTGTGGTGCCTTGTTCCAGGATTCATCGGTTTCTCACTTGAGCAGATTTCTTGTTATCCTCGAAGGCATGATTCTCTCAGAACAATGTCTGTCTGGTCTTCAAGGTGCCCTGTTTTGGGGGTTGAATCACGCCACGGAAATTTTCTCCACCGCTAGTGAAACATCACACCAGAGTCGGACTTCGCCTTGCTGAACCTCACTCTGGCTGGAGGTATCCCCATTGGGGCGCTCCTCCCAGGCAAACAGGACATCCGGGCGCCATGGCTTCAGCGTGCCCCACATGTTCACAGTGGTTCAGACGGAAGGTTAGAGGGAAGGACAAAGGGGAAAGGTCAAGCATAGTCTTTCTGGTTGTAGGATTGAGTTTGAGCATTAACAAAAAAGGAAAAGAGAATGAAAGGAAAATCAAAAGGAAACTGTCCTTTCTCCCTCCTTTAATTATTTAACCAGTGTTTACTATGTGCCAGCATTATTCTAGTCACTGGAGACACCGAGCTAAACAAATAATAAAAATTCAGCCCTGGTGTCCCTGATGTTCTTGTCCGGAGGCTGCTGCTGTAGTCCAGCATGCGGCGGCGGTGACCTGGTGGAGTGGCAGTGAAGAGGGAGAGGAATGGAGGGTTTACCTCTCTTCCCACCTCTGCCACCCCACAGACCAACTCCCGGTACTCCCACCACCAAGACGACCCCTCAGCTTCCTTCCAGACTGCTCCCTTACCCAGCTGTCATCTGACTCCATGTCTCATTTCCAGCAAATGATGATAATGAGAAAAGCAACAGAAAGAGACTGAAAACACCCATTGATATATAAATCAGAACATGAATCAAATGAAAGGAAAGAAATGTTTGGGAAGAATGAATGATGGCAGAATGCCAGCATCAATTTGCCCACTGGAAGAAGAAATGGATGACGATGTCTTAGGAAAAGGATGGATTAATCTGATCCACTTGGAGAGAGTAGGTGTCAGATTTTATCAATTCAATTTCCCCATTAATTTTCTTTTTCTGACATGGATGGTGGGCTGAATCTTGGGCCCTCTGCCTTAGCTTTCAAGAAATGGAATGTCTTATAAGCAGCTATTATTCCAAGCATGTAGGTCCTGGAAAGACAAAAGGGAAAGAGAAAAAGGTACGTCCCATGGGGTTCCTGTGTAGCAGCCACACGTAGCATGTGTCTCTTGAGCACTTAATGTGTCTAGTCTGGACTGAGATGTACTGTCAGCATAAAACACACACTGGAGAGTTCAGAAATAAAAGAATAAAATATCTAACTAATGTCTTTATATTGACTATATGTTGAAATGATATTTTGGATATTATGGTAAATAAAATGCATTATTAAAATTAACTTTACCTATTCCTATCTACCATTTTTAAATATGACTACTAAAAATTTTAAATTATATATGTAGCTCTTATGATTTTTCAATTAGATTGTGCTTCTTTAGATAATAATAGTAACAAACACTTATTGAACATCCCATGCGTTCCAGACACTGTTCTAAGCATGTTACGTGTACCTTCTAGTTTTAATCCTCACAACAAATTTCAAGGTACATACTAATATAGTTTCATTTCTACGAATAAAGAAACCAAGGCATAGAGGGACTAAGTAACTTGTCTAAGCTCATGCAGTTGGATGGTGGCAGGGCTGGAATTCAAACAGCCTGGCTCCCATTCATTCAGCCATTTCCCTACCTCTTGGTGTTGAGTGAAGAGTTGCTTCAACATCTTACACAGAGCAAGGCAGGTATAAGGAGGTCAGTACAACTGTGCGTTAATTCGCAGTTTCAGGTTGTAAGGAACAATGATACAGTCAGGTTGCCTGAGTTGATGGGGATATATTACAAGGACAGAGAAGTAAAAGAGTCCTACCAAGGTCAACATCAGGTTTTGTGGAGAACTGGAAACATGCTCAAGATACTACAGTGATTCCAGTGAGAGACAGAACCCTCAGACTCACATTCTTGGGTCTTGGCTTCTCTCTGCCTCTGTCCAAATCTGTTATTGACTAATTGCCTTCTGGCTCCTCTTTATGTAGAACTTCTACTATCTGCCTTCTCTCAGCATTTGGCTCCTACACATCTTTGTTTTTTGTAAGATTTGTATGCTGAGTTACAATCATAGATAACTGGATTGGCTAGATTGGACAGTCTCCAGTACAGACTGGGTCTAGCAGCAGAATTTCCTGCCAGGCTCCCTCAGAAGTCACTGGCCTTCCTTATGTTTGGCTGTTTCTGGAACAGAGTCCGTCACTGGTTGGCTGCTTCAGACAGGGTTACAAGATCATATGACCCACATAATGATATGATAGCAAGATATGTTTGTGTCACCAAGTGAATTTACATTCATTCATTCACCAAATACTCACTGGGTATCTGCTGTGTCCCAGACACTGTTTTTGGCATTTGGACTTCACTTGTGGGGAAAAAAAAGACAAAAATCCCTGTTGTCATGGAATTTACATTCCAGCTGAGGGAAATAGACAATAGCTAAGGAGCACAGTAAGCGAGGTATAATGTTTGGTGGACGGTGATAAGGAGAAGAAAGTAAAGGGACTGGGAGTGCTGCTGCCTGGGGAAACAGCTTGCAGTCTGCCATGGTCGTCCATGAGTAGGATGAGCCTCGTCAGGAAGGGGAGATTCCTGCGAAGTCACAGCGGAGGAGAGGGAGTTAGCGGAGACGGAGCTGGAGGAAGAGCATTCAGCCATGTGGAACAGCTAGAGAAAGCTCTAAGCCTGGCATGTTCGCGGAACAAGGAGTTTAA